AGCTTGGGCTGCTGCAGCTGCTGCTGCTGGTAGTAGTGGGGCGCAGCCTCAGCTAGCCACTCGGGGCGGACTTCGAAGACAGCTCTCATGTACTCTTTGGTGGTTAAAGTCAGTTCGGTGTAAACCACAAAAGAGGGAAAACTTCCAAACAAAGAAGACTGCGGATGGATCTCCACCGTTTGCGGATTCTTCAGAGTCGTGAACGTCCCCTGCCGGTTCAAACGCGCCGCCTGCATGCACACGCAACGGCTAGCTAGCTAGCTAGCTGGCGACGTCGCTAGCTAGCTAGCTGGCGACGTGGCTAGCTGGGCAGCTAGCTGGGTAGCTAGCTGGGTGGCTAGCTGGGTGGCTAGCTGGGTGGCTAGCTGGGTGGCTAGCTCGGTAGCTAGCTGGGTAGCTAGCTGGGTGGGTGGATGGCTAGCTGGGTGGTTAGGTAGCTAGCTTGCTGGGTGGCTAGCTGTGTAGCTAGCTGGATGGCTAGCCGGGTAGCTAGCTGGGTGGCTAGCTGGGTGGCTAGCTGGGTGGCTAGCTGGGTGGCTAGCTAGCTTGGTGGCTCGCTAGCTTGGTGGCAAGCTAGCTAGGTGGGCGGGTGGCTAGCTGGCTGGGCTGCCGCCCCAGCCAGCCAGCCAGCCAGCCAGCCAGCTAGCTAGCTAGCTAGCTAGCTGGCTAGCTGGCTTGCCTGCGTGAAGTAGCCAGCAGTGAGGGCCTTGCGGAGGGTCTCGTCGGAGGCCTGGCTAGCTGTCTCCTCCAACTCCACTCTTTCCAAAAGGCCCTGCAGCTGCTCCCGCACGTCTCGCGCGCGCTGCAGCGCGCGGTGCTGCAGGAAGTTCTCGTAGCACCACGCCACCGAGTACCCTGCAGCAGCAGCAGCAGCAGCAGCAGCAGCAGCAGCAGCAGCAGCAGCAGCGGCGGCGGCAATGGGGAGGGGCTGCGCGGCAACGGGAAGGGAAGGGAGGCTCTCAGCGCGGCTCTGGCTGGCTAGCTAGCCAGCTAGCTGGCTGGACGTGAGCTTCTCCGTCCCCTCCACTAGCTAGCTAGCTAGCTAGCTAGCTATCTGGCTGGCTGGCTAGCTAGCCACACAGCTAGCTAGCTAGCTAGCTAGCTGGCCGGCCGTCGACCCAACCGTGCACCCCCCCCCACCCCTGCAGCTAGCTAGCTATCCATCCCCTTGCCCCCGCCCCGTCGCCCCCAGCCAGCCCCCAGCTAGCCCCCAGCTAGCTGGCAGCTAGCCAGCAGCTAGCTAGCTAGCTGACCAGTCTGCTCCCACTGCTGGTAGACGTTGAGGAGCGTGGAGGGGTCGCCGCCGGGCCTGCAAAAGAGCCTGCGGGCGTTGTCCGCATGCAGGGCCTTTTCCTTAGGCCGGAAAAACAACAACCCCACCACTCCCAACATGGCTGTTACTGTTAAGGCTTCTGCCACGCAGCGGCCCTCAGCCCCCACCACGAAGCGGCTAGCCATGGGGTCCAGCGGCAGCTCCGCCATCCGCCGGCCCAGCTTCGTCAGCTCGCCCTGAAAGCAACGGCTCGCTGGCTAGCTGGCTAGCTAGCTGGGTGGCTAGCTGGGTGGTCGGGGGGGTGGGTGGCTAGCTGGGTGGCGAGCTGGGTGGCGAGCTGGGTGGCGAGCTGGGTGGCTAGCTGGGGGTGGCTAGCTGGGTGGCGAGCTGGCTAGCTGGGAGCGTGGAGAACTGGCTGGCTAGCTGGTTAGCTGGCTAGCTAGCTAGCTAGCTAGCTAGATAGACTGAGGCGCCAGAGCTGCCAGGCGAGAGCAGCGCTAAAGCCTAGACTGAACGCGGGGCGCTGCAGGTGTTTACTAGCTGGGGTTTGCTCGGGTTTAGGGTTTAGGGTTTAGGGTTTAGGGTTTAGGGTTTTAGGAACCCGCTCGTTGAGGGCTGCGAGGGCGTAGAGGAGCTCGAGGGCGGCGACGAGGGTTTGGGGCGCAGGAGGGTCCATGAAGTCGAAGTTCAAAACGTCATCAACTCCGAGAGTTTTGAGAAAAAGAACTGCAGCAGCAAGACTGCAGCGCAGCACTTCGGGTGTCTGTACACCTGGCATTTCCTGTTCGAAGGAGTTTCGGGTGTACAGACGGAAGCAGTGGCCCGCGCGCACGCGCCCGGCCCTGCCTGCGCGCTGGTTCGCGGAGGCCTTCGAACAGGGCACTGTGACCAGCGATTCGAGGCCTGAAAAGCCGGGAAAAAAGGAAATTAGCGAATTAAATGAATTGTTTGCAAAAAATAAACCCAATTCGAGGAAAAAGGCGGCAAAAATGAGAAAAAATGAGCCAAAAACGGGGGAAATAGACTCAAATGCGCAACAAACGACTGCAGTGCACACGCCACTGTCACCGAGATTCCACGACTGAAAACAAAAGAAAAACAGATTTAAAATGTTTCAAATGAATTGCTTTTAATAATTGGAAGTAATTGGAGAGAAAAGGGGGGAAAGGGGGGCAAAATGAGAGAAAAAGGAGAAAAAACGGAAAAAATGCAAAAAAATGGATTAAAATGGACAAGGCACTGTCGACAAAGATTCCAGGCCTCAAAGAATGAAAAACAGATTAAAACGCATCAAATGAAGTGTTGAAAGGAACTGGATAGAGTTAAGAATAAAAAAAGAGAAAAAAGGAGAAAAAAAAAAGAAAAAAAGAAAAAAAATGGGGAAAAAAGAGAAAAAAATGGATTAAAACGGGCAAAAAGGAGATTAAGAGGGATTTGGCAGTGTCGCCAAAGACTCGAGAGCCGAAGAATAAAAAGGAAAGAAAAGATATAAAAAGACTGGAATTAAAGAGCTGCTGCTGCTGCAGCAGACTGCAGCAGCAGCAGCAGCAGCAGCAGCAGGCTGCAGCAGCAGTAGACTGCAGCAGCAGCAGATTGAACTGTGTTTATTTTTAATTTTTAGGGTTTTCAAACCCTCGACTTGTGCTGATTTATTTTTGCTTTTTTGTTCGGGGTGTAGAGCCTAGGGTTTAGAGTTTACACTTCAGCGCCTCCCGTCTGTAGTTTAGGGTTTAGGGTTTAGGGTTTAGGGTTTAGGGTCCAGTAGCTCGGGTCTTGGGTCCGTCGCCTCGCGCTTAGGGTTTAGGGTTTAGGGTTTAGGGCCCACTAGATTCTAGGGCTTAGAAGTTTAGTGTCTCGGGTTCACCGCCCCCTTATTAGGGTTTAGGGTTTAGGGTTTAGGGTTTGGGGTGCATTATACGGAATTTTACCGCCTTTTGGCTAGAATGGTTTTCCCGAGGGTTTAGGGTTTAGGGTTTAGCGCATATTGCACGTAACAATACCGTTTTCTGGGCTGAATTGGTTCTACCTAGGGTTTAGGGTTTAGGGTTTAGGGTGCATTACATGGAATTTCGCCGTTTTTTTCGCTGAAACTGTTTTCCCAAGGGTTTAGGGTTTAGGGTTTAGGGTTTGCTGCATGAGATTGTACCGCTTTAGGGCTGAGTCGGTTTTCTTTAGCAAACCCCAAGTCGGTGTCATAAACCACTCCTTCTTTTCGCGCCCTAGGGTTAGGGTTTAGGGTTTAGGGTTTGTGTCGTAGGACATGGAATTGTCCCGTTTTTTGTGTGGACTTGTCGAGGGTTTACGGTTTAGGGTTTAGGGTTTAGGGTTTGCGTCGTAGGACATGGAATTGTGCCGTTTTCGCGCGGGTTGTTCGAGGGTTTAGGGTTTAGGGTTTAGGGTTTGCGTCGTAGGACATGGAAAGTTCCCGTTTTCGCGCGGCTTCTTCGAGGGTTTAGGGTTTAGGGTTTGCTGCGGACCGGTCTTGGGGCTGAATTGGTTTTCCTTGGCAAACCCTGAGTCAATGACATAAACCACTCCTTCCAAAGTCAAAGAAGTCTCCGCAACATTTGTTGCAAAAACACATTTTCGAGACCCCCGCGGGGTCACTTCGAAAACCCTCGCTTGCTGCTCCCCCGGCAGCGCGGAGTACAGCGGCAGCACCAGCAGCTCCGCGCACTCCCGCCCGCGCCCGCGCAGCCTGCAGCAGCAGCAGCAGCAGCAGCAGCAGCAATAGCAACAGCAGCAGCAGCAGCAGCAGCAGCAGCAGCAGCAGCGGCAGCGGCGGGAGAGGCGCAGCAGCACCCAAGGCAGCAAGCAAAGAAGCACGAGCAGCAACACCCCCCCAACCCCTCCCCCCAAACCCCAAACCCCAAACCC